ATGCTGGCTGGGGAATTCTGGGAGTTGAAGTCCCCACATCTTAAAGTTCCCACGGTTGAGAAACACTGGCTTAGCCATATCAATTCCTTACATGTTTTGATGTCTCCCATCCAGAGATATTTAATTCTTGAAATATTCCAAGGCATGGGCTGGTTGGGAATACTGGCAGTCCCCATACCAGTGCATCCATGGCAATGGGTACTTCTGAGGTTCTGATCCAATTTTCAAAATTTCACTTTTGCATAGCATGCAAGATTCAGATCGGAGTAATGGATAAATATTTTTCCTTTTCTATTTAAGGCTCTGTCAGGTTTCAAGAACATAATTTGGAAGCAAGAAAAAAAAGGCAAAAACAAAAAAAAAGCACTGCTGGAGGAAAGATAGTAATGGGATAATGATATATTGTGGACCTTAGTTATAGCAGGAAAGAAAAGGGAGCTGGCAGGTGACTAAGGCTTCATCCCTGATTAATAGTCACCTGTTTTAAGATCACTTTGGGCAGAGCATGCACATTTCTAGCTTATCTCTATAATTGTGAAAACTTTAAATGTGGTTAGTCTAGGTTGCAATGTTTCCAAAGCCAGCCTTTGGTGATCTCATGCCAGTGCTGTGTTGCCACTGATATGCCAAAATAAACCTCTGGGTGGGCAAGTCAGTAAGAACCCTTTCAGGTAGGAGCACTTTTTGGAATATGGTTTACTTTATAGTAAATTAGTAAACAGTAAATTAGTTCCTTGTCCCTCTATACCTACTAGGCTGATATCCTCTTCTGAAATGGTGGCCCAACAATTGGAATCTACCAACCAACTTGCAGAAGAGACTGCTCGGGCCCAGAATGCCACCTTGCGCTCTCAGGAGCAGATCCTGCGAGATGGGGAGGTGCTATGGCGAACCCTCCGTGACTCCTCCCAAGGTGACCTGAGAACAAAGCTATATCAGTCCTTTTAAGAGTTTGCACTGATATGCTAGATATTACAGAGATCAGCCTACAGATACAGCCTTTTCTGTAATATTTGTGAAAATCCCTAGTGTTATATGGTAGGAGTTTCTATTTTTAGAAGTATTGGAGTATGCTACAGTACTGATATATTGACTCAAAAAAAGCTTTTCTGGAACCACTTTCAGTTACACATGTGTAGGGAAGCATGTTTTGGTACCCTAATCAGCTTTATTTTAAAAAAAAAGTAGTGACTTCCCTCTAAATTGCTTGCAACCCATTGTTTGAAACTTAAGAAATTGGTTATTTGTGAATCTGAATGCAAGCCACACAGGATCCATTAGACCAGCTGGTCTAATAAGTGGATTGGAAATCAATTACCTTTTTGATTTTGTACTTCTTAAAACTTTGCAAGGCAGATTTTGACTCCAGTAAATCTGTCAGAATGCATATGTTTTAGGGTATGATGCATTTAGAAATGTATTCTTTAAGATACATATGTGTAAAAATTCATTTCATAGAGGAAAAACTTTTCTAAACTACTTATTTCTTTGCTTGGATTACGCTATCCAAAAACATGGCAAAGCAAGGCACAAACCTGGTATTAACAGATTTGCAAATGCATGTGTGCAAAGCTTTCTTTCCCAAGAACTTGATAGCTTAGCACTTGTTTCATATTGATCACATATTACAGGTAGTCCTCGTGTTACGACGGCAATAAGGACTGGAATTTCTGTTGCTAAGCAACATGGTTGTAAAGTGCAATGTCACATGACCACATAGCTTAGCGATGGCAATCCCGGCAGTCCCAGTTGCCGTTGTAACCCCAGGATCATGTGGACTGTTAGGCAAGGAGCTCATGTGGGAAGAGATGGGAGCCTCAGGCAAGCAGGCCAGCAGGCAAGAGCTGTGGGTAGGGGAGTGTAAGCGGGTGCCATGGGTGGACGCTACAGAGCATGGGCGGGCAAGCAAAAAAGCAATGGAAGCAATGTGCAACCTTCGGCCAGCTTCCCCATTGACTTTGTGGGTAGGAAACCAGCAGGGAAGTTCACAATAGTGATCATGTGACTGTGGGATGCTGCAAGCATTGTAATTGCAACCTGGTTGCCAACCGCCCGAATCATGGTCATGTGATTTCAGGGACGCTGTGATGTTTGCAACTTCAGGGACTGGTTGTATGTCTCCCTTATTCAGCACCGTTGAAACTTTGAACTGAATGAGTGATTGTAACCCAAGGACTACCTGTAAACCATGTGTTTCTCTGAGGAGCTCATTGCTATATAAATTATTCCTACAGGCTACCATAAACTGAAAGTTACAAACAAATCTGAGATGTCTGTGAGGTTTGTTATGAAACTGGCATTGGAATTCAGGTCTCCCAAGCACCCTTGCACATTGTGAGGATTTTTGCTGCATTTTCAATTCCAATCCTGAGAAGCATCTCTATCATAGCAGGCTTCTGTGCAACTATCTAATGTATTATATACAAGCCATACTCAAAGGCAGTGCACACAGCACATGTACCCTTTGCAGCTATGTATCCTCTGTACATAAATATACCTGTAAGTATGTACACAGCCATATAGCTGTCTGGAGATTAGGAGGTTGTGCCTGTCAGCTGTTATTGTGCCAGTCTAACCAGTAAAGCCACATTCTAACTGGTATGCTTAGAAAGACATGGAGGTGCCTTATACTGAGTCAGAGTGTTTGGGTATATAGCTTGATGCCACCACCCACTCAAGTTAGCAAGAGTTCTTCAAGGTGAATGCCCTTCCAGCCTAGGATGACTACAAACTTCAATGGGAATCACTGAAATTTAATTTAGGCTCTTCTGCTTGCAAACATGTATTATGGCCCTTGAATTCCAAGAGTCACTTCCCACTTTTGAAAATTCAGGATTTGTTGAGTTGTTCAACTCAGCCCCACTTTTCAGGCTTGCATAAGAAGCTACCAAGCTTCATAAAACAAGAATTTGAGGAAAGGACCTGGAAATGCTAGCAACACCCTTGATCTGTAATGTTACTTGTGCTATAGGATTCAAAGTTAAAAATTGTGCAATTTTTTGAGGTACAAGTATTGTCAGGGTTATTCTTGACTGATACCAGAACTAGACTCACAGGCAACAATTCAAGAGCACAGCCCAAAATAAGCTAGCTTTATGTCAGGTACAAAACCCATAAATCCAGGAACTTCAGAGTGTGAGGTACAAGCCATGCATATAGCAGAATCAAAGTTCAACTCTGATATCTGTTTTTCCCACTCTTGTGTAATATGCTAAGGGCTTCTCACTTTGGGGCAGGAGAAACAGTTGATAACTAGCCATGATTATTATAAACCACCTGTCTGGTTTGAGTTTTTTGTTGTTGACCTTGCCTGATCTAGCTCTTCCATGTATGCATATAATGCACAACAGATGGGAAGAAAAGAATATGATAACAGCATCGCAAAATTGCAGGGGAGAATTAAGCATTACAGACAGTGGACCTCAACTATACAGGGGGCCTTATTCAATGGTAGAAACATGCTTTCTGTGTAGGAGATTCCAGATTCTTCCCAGCCATCCCCAAATAGGACTGGAAACACTCTTCCCTAAAATCCTGAATAGCTGCCATGAGACACTGATGTTGAGTGAAGTTCTGACCACTGGTTTGAATCAATATAAGCAACTTTCTTGCCATCCAGAGATTCTCACTGTTGGAGTACAAAGAACAAATAAATCCCATAAAATCCATCACCACCACCCCCAGCATACAAGAACCATACAGGAAGAAAGAAGGCCAGCCCTGTCAACATGTGTAAAATTGTTTTCAGAGCCTTGTAAAATGTCAGTAATGAGAGGGTAAGGTACAGCTCTGAAGGTAAGGTTTTCCCAAGCATCAGGGTCATGACAGAGAGAGCCTATCTTCTGGCCCATAGCCTCCATCTCCTGAGAGGCAGGAGGCTCAGTCCTGTTTCTGTAATTCCTCAATAAGGAATTATAGAAACAGGACTTTAACATGCCAGAAGGGCACCAGATTAGAGAAAAATTAAGGGCATCCCCCCCCCCACAGCTATGTGTCCTTGTGCTTTGAATTAGTGTGTGACAGACATAGGAAATTTGGGGGAGTGTGTAAGTGGCCCAAATAAGATATCCTGTTTGTCTGGGAGGGCAATGGCTTCTTGTCCTTCCTCTCCCTTCTGCAGGCATGCACCAGGCCTTCCAAGAACTGCAGAATTCAGCCATCGAGCAGCGAGTAGCCTTTGCAGAGATCTTTAATCGGGTGGCATTCCTGCACCGCTTTGTAGTAGGGGAATCCAATGCACTCTATTCTGTCTTCTTCCATCTTTTGAGTGGTGTTACCATACTGCTGCTGACCTCTAGCCAGCAAACTGCAGGAGCTCGGTGAGCAAAGACAGAAGGACATAAAATGGGGAAGTGCCCGATTGTTTAGTGTTCCAGTCCTCTCAAAATGACTGGGCCAGGAATGCAGGTGAAGGGTTCAAGATTGCTTTGAAAGTATCCACAAATGTATTTCTTGGTGCAACAAGAAGTGGTACAAGATGTTTTAATTGCTTTTATTGTCATCTGTGAACCGCCCAGGGTTATGTTGCATAAGATGGACAATTATCTAAATGTTTTCAATAAATAAATAGAATAAGACCCTTTGATATAGTCAACCCAAGTAATTTGGGTCCTATAGTATACTGTTCCTTTTCTGGTGGAATTGATAAGACTGCAGAAGAGGAACTGTAGAGTATCTGTTTTTATCTTGGACATCCCTGGTTTTAATTCTAAGGAATTCCAGATATTGCTAGGATTTAATTCCTTCTGAAAGCTTGGAAAGCCACTGTCAATTAGTGTTGGCAATAAGACCAGTGATCTAGCTCAGTGTAAAGCAGTTCCACTGCTTGTCTTCCCTGCAATTGTGCAGCAGTCATATCATCAGACTAAGTAAAAACTTAGTATAAGACTGGACATTTCTGCATACATGTACCTTCCAAAAGAATCGAAGATTCAGCTTTTTACACCTTTTGTGGATGACACCAGATGAGGAAAAAGGAGGGTATCTGCAACAAATGGGGAGTAGAGACATGGTTGGATCTGTACGGAACACTGCATTTATTATTTTATAGTGTTATCCATGTTTTCAGCATTTAACAAATGTAATCTCTCTCCTGTCCCAAAGTTGGCATCTCGCCTTTTACCAATGAGGTAGCATTCTCAGCAGGTCTTGTTAAAGCCTGATAAAGGTGCAGTTCAGTTTTTGATGCCAAAATTTGTTTTCCATAAATATGAGGACTAAAAATTAGCTAAAGGAAGCTGCGATTTTCCGAATGTGTAATTGTGCAAAGACCATAATCCTCCATTCTTCTATGAATGTAAAATATAAAATAGATTCTATACTTTCTCTTAATGGCCTTTTATTCCCCCTTTTATCTCCAGGTTAATTTTGCTGACCTTGGTGGGAGCTAATATTTATCTAGAACGTGTCATCTGTAACCTTCTCTTGGATAACTCAAAAGAGGGCTATGACCTGACGGTATGGTCATTCACTTGCAATAACAAATGGAGGGGGAAAAGGTTGATAACCAAAAATATGCTGTACCTGGAGTGATGCTCTGATGCTGATCTCAACTGAGGTACTGTCTCGCTGTTCCAACACAGATGACGTGATGAGCTTTTGTCCCCCACTCTTGGCCCACAGTGCCATGATGTCATGCTCACCCTTGTCAAAGGAAGCGGTTACAGTTCAGCAAGCTTTTAGGGGAGACATGGCACAAGAGAAGCAGCTAAGCAGAGCCAATTGATTCTGAGGAAGCAGAAGGAAGCTTATGGTTTCCAACCACCAGCTGAATTCTCACCTTAGTTTGATTCGGTGAAGAGGCTCAAGGATTGTCTTACCATTAGCAAAACACATGCATGCACAAAGAAGCCATACTTTAGGAATAAAATCTGAGTTTCTAGCATTGCCACCCATACACTTGAATTAAGTTCATAGCTATACTGAAGCTGGAACCCAAGTGCCTGGTTCATTGATGGGCCTGTCCATGTAGTGACAAAATGTGATGAAAAGTTATAGCCAAGGGTTTCAGTGCCAGAGCAATTAAAATTCTGATTTCTTTGTTGAAATTAGGCAGCCCTGGTATTTGTGTTTTGTTTCTGTTATTTTGCATTATTTATTGTCCAGTTATTGCAGCTATCCTTTAATCTGCTTTTGTTAGCCATACAACTGCAGTACTATCCCTGAAGAAGTCGCAGGGCCTGATCATATGTGATTACAGAGATTTTAAATAACAAGTCTCACTAATAGTACTGCATTTACCCCAAAAGAAGATAAATGGAAAAAGAGGACAGAAATAACTCATTTGCTCTCATGCAGTAATGATATTCTCAAAAAAATCCTTTCTCTGCACTGTGGTGATACCTGAAAAAAGCCCCCAATTATGCCAAATGGGGGCTTTGTGTCTGTCAATAAATGCAGTGAGAGAGAGGGATTAAGTTACATGCTGTATCTCTTTTTGCATGCTAAAATATCGACTGAGAAAGATTTTCCTCTCCTTAAGTGATATATTTAAAAAAATCAGGCAGAACATTTAAATACGGCATGTTGTTAGAACCTCATTCAGTTATCAGCTTGAGGCTCATCCAAATGTTGCAAAGCATTTTTCAAGCATATTTCTGATGCTGTGAGGATTAGAAATTTGCCTTTTTGGTTCTTTCTTTAAAACTAATGTATCTGTCCAGGAGATGCAGGTTGGAACTTCCCTGGCATTTCTAATCCAAATGCCAGAGAAAATTAAACTTCACAAATTCCATTCTGGAGTTTTGTGGAATTGCCAGAGTAGTCACTCTGATTATTACTACTGAATTTACATTTGTCAGTGAGTAATTTTGAAAGGGTAAGGAGAAAATCAGCATCCTGGTGAGCAGGAGCAAATTTATTAGAGCACATTTAAAAAAAAAAAATAGGGTGGGTGCTTAGATGTTCAAAATGAGGATTTCCATTGCTTAAGTTGAGATCAAAAGGGAAATAGCTGCTCAGACACAGGGGCCTGTTTGTTCTATAAAGATGCCACTGCCATTCATGGTGGGGTGTGCAGACATTTTCCCATACTTCTCCAGTTGCAGGAACTGGACATTTTTCTGCAATAGCGTCCTCTTTTTAGGGAATAGGCAATTCTCTCTTCCCCCAATTAATGTACTTTTAATTTTTTATTTATCAGTAAAATAGCTTACAGTGGACACACGTGATATGAATAGTTATTTCTAGGCCGCAAAAGCACAATGTTGTTTCATACTTTTTCTCTTTAATTAACCTTTGGGGAAAAAATCAAGTAATTTAGAAAACTTCAGCAAATTATAAATAATATAAATAAGCAAGATTAAAACTATGAACTCAAGTATCAAGACAGAAATCAAATCACTTCATTTAAATCAGCAACCAAATCATACATACACAACATGGTATAAATTTGTATAAATAATCCCAAACCTAAAATTAAGAAAGAAATTTATTTCTGGTTCAGAGTTAAAAAGAATTGGGGAACCTGCTTTGGGCCTATCAAGGGACAGCAATGGATTTTTATTTTCCGGTTCTTCAGACCACAGTACAGAATATTGCCATTCTTATGTATATCTGTGGATCTGAACTGGAAAGCAAAAAAAGTAGACTGTGACACATCAGGGTAACTGTCAAATAACCTTCCCTGTTGTGTGTGTGTGTGTGGAGGTGTCCTAATTTTATTTTTTTGCTTCAAAATTAAAGTACAATCCCATTAACTCAGGGAGGGATCTTTCTGAAGGAACTGTTGCTTATGCTGATACCAGTTTCGGAAATTCCTCCTCCCTCCCCTCCCCTCCCCTCCCCCTCCCCTCCCCTCCCCTTCCCTTCCCTTCCCTGGGGGGAACCCTTATGGAAAATAAATAATCATAAAAGAAACATCAAGATAAAATTAGATTATATCTCTTGAAAGTCTTCTGTGTCATTCTATTGAAAAAGAGTCTAGACAGAGGTTGGCAGAAAACACCAGGTATCTTTGCTGCAACTCAAGATGGATTTACTCTTCATAGTCCCTTGCTAAACCTAACATGCTTGGAAATGTTTTAATGCTTGGTAGAAAAAAACAGTTCTCTATACTAAGATATATCACTTGTTTGTGAGATGGGCGGCTATATAAATTTGAAAAATAAATAAATAAATAAATAAATATAACTGAAGATAACATATGTGATGTATGACTCTTGTATCCTGAGATTATTAATCCTGTGAATTTCAGTATGTTTCCTGTGGGAAATTAAGCTTGCAGTTTTTTGATATAAAACGCAGGCTCATTTTTCCCTCAAATGTTCATCTTTTCAGTAGGCTAATTTAGGAACTGGAAGAAAGGCTATTAGTTATTCTGTTTGGTTGTTAATTTTAAGAGTCAGAAATCCTTGCTGATTTAGTCCACATTACTCAATCTGATCCTCTTTTTGTCAGCTCATCTCAGGGCATCAGTCCAATCAATATAATTTCAGCCATGCAGTACTGAGGTGCTGGCTGCCACTTGGAAAAGATTAGGAAAGGAACAGTGTAGATCAATGTTGATGATCAGGGATCTGTGGTTGTGACAGCTAAACAAAGCTTCCATATTTTGTGGTAGTATGCTCTGAACACACTGCCCTGAGATATGCTTGTGAAACTGTCATAAGCACCTGGCTGACCCTTGCCAGTGACAGATGACTGTACTATACTTGATAGAACAGCCTTCCCCAACCTGCTGCCCTTCTGATGTATTGGAATAACAACTTCCAGAAGTCTCAGCTATAGGGCCAACCAGAAAACCTGGTTGTTTTAGTTCCACATGTCTGGAAAGCTTTTCTTCTTTGTTTTTCAAGTACTTATAGAAGTTCCATTTGGCTATGGTTGCTGAAAGCCATCATAGCACTCATCTGTTGCCCTCATCAAATTAATTAATTTTTTTAAAACAAGCTGTCTTTTTAAAACAAGCTGTCTTAGTGTCCACCAGGAAATTCAGTAACTTCATCATATGTTTACATTTTCAATTTAAGTCCATGGGAGATCGCAACTTGCCTTTGTTCATAATGAGATATTTGATGAGAATTCTCCTTGCCCCAGTCTGTAGAGAAGGTAGGGTTTCTGTGTTGAAGCTCAAGGAGCATATACCCCATGGTTGCCCCTCTGTTAGTGACTGAATGGGGACAGTCAGACTGAATTTATCTACACTTTTTCCTCATAGGAAAGCATCTCCTCCTGGGTGGGTCTGTCGCGCCGGACTTTTGCTGGACTGTGCATAGCTGTGCTAGCTTATTTTATCTGGACCTACAAGGACCCAGCCAAACAGAGCCAAGAGGTGCTGCAGAGTCTACAGGAGACTCGGACAGAGATTCAGCAACTTTTACAAGAAACTGGTAATGAATGACGAGCAATGTGTGGCTGGGGACTTGAGGAGGAGGAAATGGCCTTGCTTTGCCCAAGGAGCAGTCTGTATTAGATCATTTGATGGAAGATGCAAAGAGAGAGGAGCTGATGTTTCTGCCCATTTCCAGGTTGGGGAAGCTACTCGAGGGAAAGGGGTACAGTAAGGAAAGCAGTTGGTTGAAACTGGAGGAGGGTATGTGCATCTGTAAGTACTTCAGGCTGTTCATCTAATTCCACCTCAAAGGGTTGGGGTACTTGCGCAGGATGTATGAATGCATCATTGCTACTTAGAAATGAGCAACAGGAGATTTGAGGGCTGTGGTTGCCTAATGATACTAGCTAGCATCTCCCCTGTTCTTTTGCTTAGAAGAGCATGTGAGGGCTTTCAGGATGACATAAGTGCCTCTGTGTGCATCACAAGTAAATGGGATATGGAGATGCTAAAGACTACGCAATGAGAAAACCCAGGGGAATGGCCTGTGCTCCAGTGTTCCAGACCTAGATAATAAAAAAATTAAATAATACAGAGATTATAATCTTCTCTGGCCCAGGGTATAGAATGCAAGCATGTCAGGCTTCTAGACCTTGGTATGTTCTCAGTATGTGCGGTCTTTTTTTTTTCCAGAGAGGCTGTTGGCTAAACCGGAGCTTCTGTTTCAAGGCACCAAGCCTAGAATAGAAAAGGAGGTGTTGAGTGACATGGGTGTCTCAAAGCTGCTGTTCTGTTCAGAGAACAGAGCTGAAATGGACGCAAAAGAGCACTGGGCTGATTACCGGAGAAGTGAGTACCACCTTCATGGAGGAATGGAAAGGTGGAAAATAGAATTGGGGTCACTTAGTGGCTAAAGGGCAAGTCCTGGAGAAGGGAAGCACAATGTTAAATTTCCCTGCAAAGCTCATTGAATGGACCTGCCTAGATCTCTCTCTTGTCCTGATCTACCTTACCAGATTGCCATGATGCTGAAATTTGGTTCTGAAGGAAGAGCAGACTTTGAAAGAATTAAACTTTGGAAGCTGCTACTTGCTGCAATTGTGTTTTCAAGTCATATGTGATGGGTCCCCCCCCCCCGCCAATTAAGCAAGTGGGCTTGAACAAACTATTTCCATCTGAATCCTTTTTTGGGAATTGCTGACCTTGGTTGACCCAGGCTATGTTTGCACACTAAATCACAAAAACTAGTCAATTACATTTTAGTCTAGTGTGTTTTGCAAACCTGGCTTGTATGGTTAGTTTATGATTCAGTATTTTGTACAAATCCAGACAATGCTACTATTCCATAGGGAAGGCATCTTTGAAAGTCATCAACAGTGTTTTTCTTCTATTAGATGAGGTATGGACAAGCAGCCCCAGGCAGAGAGAACGGCCAACTTCCCAGACTCGTCATTCATTGTCTCGCCAGCACAGGCAATCCCAAAATGCTCCTACTCAGCTGCTGATGATCTCTATGCCAGTGGATGGGGTGAGTTAAAGCCAATAGTGTTGCACTGAGCCATTTGGTGGAGAAATTGCTCTACAGAAGAACGAAACCATGCTGCTAGAAGTGATTGTGGGAGTTATACTCTAATGTGCATGGAGGGCACCTAATTGGGAAATATTGTTTTAGAGCTGGCTGGGGAATTCTGGGAATTGAAGTCCACACATCTTAAAGTTCCCAATGCTGAAAAAACACCGTTCTAGAGACTTCTCCATCCTTGCTGTAGAATTTTGGGAACTTAAAACAATTCTCCACTTTTCCTACAAAGCCTCTAAAGTATATGCTAAATGCCCTCATGTTGCTAGGGCTGATTCCCAAGCTGTGTGTTGGGGTGGGGGAGTGGGGGGTGTTAAACTTAAAGTGGGGAGAAGTGATTTAGAAACAACACACATTGCAGAGGAAAGAATTAGCTTCCCAAAATTTACTGTGACCACACTGCTCCACACTTGCTAACCAAGGTTCAGCAGGGCTGAAATTTGCAGTTTTCCAGTTCACTTATTTAAATTTGTATATTATGGAGGACAGTGGGTTTTTTCCTGTTCTGGCTTAATTATGCTATTAAGGCAGGGGGTAATGAGGCATGGCAACACCCTTCTCAATTTTTACTCCAGCCCTTGATTTACTTTTACATTTCAGGAAATATTGCACATTTTCTATAAATTTGGAATACTTGAAGTTTGGCATCCTTTTCATGCTTTTGTGAAATAATGACATGCATTGAGCCTACTTACTTTCTGCTACTACACTGCAGAATTCAGCAATTAATTTACTCATGGTTGCTTACCTTTCAAATCCTGGATTGAACTGATAGCAAATGCTGCGTGTGTCACAATACATTTGCATAATTCTGATTCTGATTAAAGACTTTGGGGAGGAATTAAAAAAAAATTGGCACAAAAAACAGCCTGATTGCTGGAAAACGGCTTACTGCATTGCTGTAGACCTAGGACCAATTAGGCTTCCCATCCAGTGCATATTTGAGAAATAGCCTGTAAATTCATTGGTAATGCAGGGTCCCCGCTCTAAGAACATGGTTTTCAGTCATAGGTAACCACAGAAAAGAAACAGTGTTGAAACTTCACAGGCTTTTTGTGTCATGCTATTATTCTGCAGCAGAAACAAGCGTGCTTCTCTAACGAGGAAACTTTTTTTCCTGTTTGTCTATGCAGAAATGTAATCTTTCATTCTTTTGAGAAGCACACCGCATCATACACAAAACCCTTCTGCCAGCACAGGGCAATTATGTTTCTTACCTTGCAATGAATGAATAGTCCAAGGACCATGCTGCCAGATAAGATTTATTTATTTATTTATTTATTTATTTATT